CATGGCTTGGGAAATATTTTGTCACCTTCTCGCGGGAATTCGGGCACTTTTGTTTTGTTTCGATAGTCAAAGCCAACGATTTTTTGAACATTGTGTCTGATGCGAAAAATCGATCGGTTTTCCAATTTATCTCTTCTTGAAATCTTTGATGGGCGCGTATTTAATGAGAACTTTGTCAGCGAACAAAGCTTCGCTTCACGAAAAGCCGACCTCATCTTTCACTTCTAGATAGGCTAATTCATCTTCTCTCTTCTGTTTCCACATTGTTTCTTTCTGTCTTCTTTTTGAAACGTATATTCAAAAAATAAAAACCCTTAACCGAGCAGAATTGAAGAGGCGAAACGGAACCTGAAGCGCCCAGCAGCCTCAACGGATCACTACGATGACGATCGGAAACGCTCGACGGGATCGGACCGACGATTCGAGGCACCTCCACCACCATCTATTTCCACTTCGGTGTAAGTTTTTGTGCTTTTTCACATCTAGATTTATTCATTCAACTGATTTTCATTTGCAGTCGCGGTTCCTATTCGGCTGTTGAAAAGAAACGCCTGGATGACTACCCGCCATCGAAACGGGAAGACTACAAGTCCCGTGACGAATTCAAATCACGCTCGGGCCCGGTGGATGACTACCGACGGGACAGTTTCAAGCGCAACGGCGGAGGTGGCGTAATGGACGACTACAGCAAGCGGGATTTGGATCGCCCGTCGATGTTTTCGATGGAGAGTCGCTATACGGATTCCCGTTCCGGTGCTGGAACTGACTATCGTGGAAGCGGTGGTCCACGGGATGATCGCGATCGCAATGGATCGGCACCAAAGTCCCGTTATATGGATCGGATGGATCAACGCTACCCTGATCGGTCCGGTATCAGTGGTGGCGGTGGTGGTAGCAGCAGGGACCATGGAATGCTGGACCACCGCAGATGAGTATGGCACCGGCTGGTATGGGAAACGATGGCTGGCGAATGGATAACGGACAGGATCGGTACGATCGTACCTACAACGAGAGGAAAGCCCCGCAAATGAGCGTCAGCCCCTTCATGGATCCATCGAGGCAGAGTCAATTCATGGGAGGTGGCTGCAGCGGTGGACGACCACAAGACCGATATGGAGCCCCTGTGTCCGGACGGTTCGATGATGGACGATACTAAGTAGGAAAAAGTACACTGGTTTGTGGTGTACGTTGGAATTCCTAACACCCTGCTGTGTGGTTAAAACTAGATTTACATTATTCACGTATGAATGAAAACTTTAAACATAGTTCAACATTAGGCTAATGTATGGCAAGAACTAGTTCGCGCCCCACCTCGTTCCCTCTACATCCCAATATGTAGTTCACTTCTGTCGTAGATGTGTGATCATTTGGTGTAAGAATCATCTCTGTAGTCATTATTGAGTGTAGGAACTAAGTAATTTAAGGCAGGATTCAATAAACAAATGAAACTTTATCTTAAAAGAATTAATGTACATCGACAACAACTACATTTTTGAGAAAGCACTGCACGGTTTGTCTCGAAATTTAAGCCATTTTTTTCTAGCGTATTAACTCAATTTCGAAAACACAAGACCAAGTTTCCTGAGTTTATGTGACCCACCAAATCACAGCCCACGACCCACCAGTGGGTCACGAGCCATAGATTGAGAAACGCTGCTATAAGTCATGTAGTGATTTAAATTTTGAAAGATCTTACAGTACATATTATAATTTCTAGAATTTTCCAAAGACTTCTAAGATTCATTGGAGCTCCAGCAGATCCTGGCAGTTCTGAGAATTCTTGCAGTTATATAGCTCTAGAATTTCTTGGAGTTTAAAAGCGTTCTGAGGGTTTCAGGTCACCAAGAAGATCTTGAAATTCTGTTTTGAAAGTTCTCAGAGTACAGATGGATCTCGATTTTGGCAACATGTCTGCTTCATCTATGTTGTCAAAGTTGAGACCTTCTTGGGCAGCAGCAAAACCAAGCAAAACGGTTGGATTCAATTCTAATTTTTAAATTAAACTGACTGCCACGGCAGCGGGTACCGCGCTTTTTTTTTGCTGGCAGTTGTGCCAACAATCAATACGAAACTATCGATTTGAAATTGGCTCACTACTTGACTAGCCTATTGGTCCCAAGCAAACGATTAACGCATCCCATTCTAGTCGGAATTCTACTACTACACTATGTTTGTTTTGATTCTCTATGAAAGTTTGACAGATAACATGAGGGGTTCGTGGATTTTCCCATGTTTCGAGGGGTGCATCGATTAGCTTGGGACCGAAGATAGTACCAGAGCTGAACCAAAAAGTTGAGCACGTTTCTTCGGGACTTTCTGGTCTTAGAGTTACCTCTATGGTTGTGCTGTCTGTGTCACTTTTGACACCTGTTCTGGTACAAATTGCTGTCTTTTGCTCTAGTACCAACAATCAATATGAAACTAACGATTTTAAATTGGCTCACCACTTTAGTAGCCTATTGGTCCCAAGCAAACGATTAACGTACCCTATTCTAGTCGAAATTCTAGTACTACGCAATGTTTGTTTTGATTCGCTATGAAAGTTTGACAGATAAAATGAGGGGTTATTGGTTTTTCCTATGTTTCGAGGGGTGATTCGACAAGCTTGGGACCGAAGATAGTACCAGAGGTGAGCCAAAAAGTTGAGCACGTTTCTTCGGGACCTACTTGTCTTAGAGTTACCTCTATGCTAGTACCGGGTGCACCAGGTACACTAAAAAAAACAGCTAGGTGAACCAAAAAAAAATCGCGTGAAGGAGGTCCTTACCCTTTGGGTCCATGGTGGGATGCTCTAGGAGGGTTGAAGTGCCAACGAATTCCTTGCAGATTGCATTCTTGTGCGATAGCATTGCGATGCTCCTTGTTGCGAACGAGTTCCCGAAGTTCATTATTCGCTCCAACGAAGTTTCGACCATTATCGCTGTGTAGATCGGAGCAAAGGCCACGGCGAGACACGAACCGACGAAGCGCTTGTAAAAATTTCGGTGTGCTGAGATCTGCTACAAGTTCCAGATGTACTGCTTTCGTGGAGAAGCAAATAAACAAGGCAACGTAAGCTTTCCCGGGTGCAGCACGACGATGTATAGGCTTGAGTGAAATTGGTCCCCAATAGTCTACTCCTGTAATGGTGAAGGGTCGACTTGCAGTAGTTCTCGACGCAGGAAGCTCGGCCATAAATTGCTCGAGCATTCGAGGGCTTGCTCGAAAGCAAGTAACACAGGTGTGAACCACGCGCTTGGCCATGTTCCTGGCCCCTTTGATCCAGTACCGTTGCCGAAGTAGATTGAGGAGCAATTGTGGAGCTGCGTGGAGATGCCGTTCGTGATAGCTGCAAACCAAAAGCAGCGAAAGTTTGTGCGATGCTGGCAGGAGAATTTGATGCTTGCTATCGTATGGTTGTTCTGCCTTTTCCAATCTGCCACCGATGCGAATTACCTTCTCTGAAGAGATGAACGGGTGGAACCACCTGAGGCGAGATTTTATCGATACTGGTTCCGACTGTTGAAGCTGCTTCCACTCTTCGCTGTATGCTTGTTGTTGAACCAATCTGATGAGTATTCTCTCCGCTTCTAACATCTCTTCTAATTTCAGCAGATTAGAATTTGGCAGTCCGCTGGATTGTTTTCGACAGCTTTGAAGAAATCGACGGCAGTAAGCGACCACACGCAAAAGGTGCTGGTATTCGGAGAATTTTTCGACGAGCAGGTCGACGAATGACGATTCGTTTGGAGACGACGATACTGTTAGGGAGATTCGACGTGCTTCTTCCAACGCCTCAGAAGGTTGATATTGTGTACTTCCAACTACTGGCCAGCAATTTTGGGGTTGCCGAAGCCATTCAGGTCCCTGCCACCAGAGGTCAAAGTCAATGATAGTGTCTGCAGTTATCCCACGTGAAATGCAGTCCGCAAGATTTTCTAGACCAGCGACATGATTCCACGAGCTATTCTGGGTGGCGAGCTGGATCTTAGATGTTCGGTTGGCAACGAACGTGTTCCAAGTAGAAGGAGATGCGTTGAGCCAGCAGAGTACGACGGTGCTATCGAGCCAGAAGTAGCATTTCGAGTCGAGACGGAGCGATGATTGGACCTTTTCGTAGAGTTGCGCTGCCAGTAGTGCTCCACTGAGCTCGAGTCGAGTAATCGATTGCCTTTTTAGAGGTGCTACTCTTGATTTTGCAGTGAGGAGGGCAACTGGTATAGTCAAGGGACTATTCCAGATGCATTAGTGGATCTGACGTATGCACAGGCTCCATAGGCAAGCTGCGAGGCATCAGCGAAGATGTGGATCTGGATCGTTGCAGGTTCGGGTTGCATAATACAGCGTTCGATGCGAAGTTCGTTGAGTCGCGGCAATTTGGACTGGTAATTTGTCCAATGGATCTGGTACTCCATCGGTAGTTCCTTGTCCCAACTCCACGAAGATCCACTGTCGTCTTTTAGTTTCCATAGGTTCTGCATGAAAACCTTGGCAGCAGTTACGACAGGTCCCACTAAGCCAAGCGGGTCGTAGAGACGGGCGATGAGCGAAAGAGCGATTCGTTTAGTAACAGGTTGGTCTGCTGTATCAGATGGTAGGTCGATTTTGCATCGTAGGCAATCTGAGGCTGGTTCCCAATGTAGCCCGAGAGTTTTGATGACCTGATCTCGATCGAGGTCTATGGAAGTCTTGAGTGCGCGATTCTCAGGTGGAATTCTTTTGAGTACTGCCAACAATCAATACGAAACTAACGATTTTAAATTGGCTCACCACTTTAGTAGCCTATTGGTCCCAAGCAAACGATTAACGTACCCTATTCTAGTTGAAATTCTATTACTACACTATGTTTGTTTTGATTCGCTATGAAAGTTTGACAGATAACATCAGGGGTGTGTGGATTCATGCAGAACATGCAGGGGTGAGTGAAATAGCTTGGGACTGCTTGGGACCGTTGTTCTGGTACTGAGTGAGCCAAAAATAATAATGATTATCTTCGGGACCCAGTGGTCTTAGAGTTACCTCTATGGTACTGCCTCATCGTTTGACGCCCACTTGCGTAGTTGAAATCCGCCTTTTGCTAGGAGTGCATCTAGCTGGTTCTGGAGTTCAATAACTTCTGCTGCGTTACTTCCGCCGGAAAAGAGATCGTCAACGTAGACGTCTTTCTTCAGAGCTTTGACTGCAAGGGGAAAACATTGACCTTCATCGTCGGCAAGTTGCATCAGTACCCGAGTGGCGAGGAAAGGAGCGCTGGCAGTACCGTACGTTACGGTATTCAGTTGATATGTCTCCATCGGATGGTCCGGTGATGGTTTCCAGACGATGAGTTGGACTCGGCAGTCACGAGGGTCGACGAGAACTTGACGGTACATCATCTTGGCATCAGCAACTACCATGAATTGATGCTTTAGGGAGCGCATCGTGATCGATCGGATGTCCTCTTGCACCGTTGGTTCAACCATCAGAGCGTCGTTGAGCGAAGGTCCGTTCGGGGTTTTACACGAGGCATCGAAGACGACCCGTAACTTCGTCGTCGTGCTTTCCTCTCGTATCACAGCGTGATGTGGAAGGTGATAGTGCTGTACCTCTGGGTCTTCGTAATCATGAATGTGCTTCATGTGTCCGAGGTCGAGATACTCGTCGATGAAAGCCTTGTACTGCAGGTGAAGGTCGGGGTTGCGGATTAGACGACCTTGAAGCAGGTGGAATCGACGAACAGCGGTACGACGGTTGTCGCTAACTTGATTTATGACCTCTTCCTTGAACGGTAAGCGGACTACGTAGCGTCCTTCTGGAGTACGAGCTACAGTACGAGAAAAATGTTCCTCGCAGGCAGCTTCTTCGACGGAGTACGCTGTCGATGTGCTGTCTTCCTCGATTGTGCAGAACTTTTCCATGAGCTGATGGATATCTGCGACGGTAGCGACGTTTGCAACGACGAGAGCGGTAGACGGACTCATTGTAGATTTCCCAGCTACTACCCAACCAAAGACGGAATTGACCAATACCGGAAGATTGTCGCCGAGAGGAATGCGTCCGGGAACCTTGAACAGGTCAAAGAAGATTTCGGCTCCAATTATGACATCGATGGAATTGGTGCTGTTGACGGATCTGCGAGTTGAATGCTGGGTGGCATGTCCCAAGTCGAAGTATCAACGGAAGTAGCTGGTAGATCGATGGTCACCTTGGGCAGAACGAGAAATTCGACGCTGGTGGAGTACGTGCCAACTCGAGAGCGGATTGTGGATGAAAACTTTAGCCTAGCTTGAATGGACGCTTGACCGATTCCGGAGATTGGAAGATAGATTTTCTTCCTCTGAGCCTTTATGCGCTGCGAAAACCTTTCCGTGATGAAGCAGCATTCACTTCCTGAGTCCAGAAGTGCGCGGGCAACGTACTCGACCCCGTTGTCATCGATTAAGATGATCATAGCAGTGGCAAGGAGAACTGTCTTCTTCTTATGGCCAGCGGAAGCGTAACTGATGGATTCGACGACCGTAGCAGATGAGGACATGGTCGAAGGAATGGTAGCTGGAGTAGGTGTAGCAGGTTTCGGATACTGGACTTGTTTCGAGTTCGACGAGAAAGAGGAATCGTTAGAGCATAGCTGAGTGTGATGACGTCCACGACACTTTCGGCAGTTGGTGGATGACGAACAATCCCTTGATAAGTGACCCTTTCGAAAGCAATTTCGGCAGAGTTGATGACGGCGTATCTCCTTCTCTTTTTCTTCTATCGAAAGTTGCGAAAAACTTCCACACATGTACAAAGGGTGATGGTCTGAGCAAATGACACACTTCCGAATATTGACCTGGTTGGCTCCGTGGCTCGAGACGGATCGCTGAACTGGCTTCTTCTGAACGGTCGACGGTTGAGCTTTGATGGGCTTAGCCTGGATGGATTGCAGCACCGTGACTCGTCGCTGGATGAAAGATGTCAGGTCCTTGAAAGTGATCGCTGGTTTGGTCGAAGAGTACTCCTCCCAATCTCGCCTTGTCGTTGGATCCAGTCGAATGCTGAGCATACGGATGAGCAAAATATCCCAATACTCCGTACGTTCACCTAATTGCTGCAGAACCTTGACGTTTGCCTCGAATTTCTCCACCAAACTGTGGAGTTCCGTTGCCGTTTCCCTTTTGATAGAGGCGAAATCGAAGAGAGTGTCTACGTACGCCTGCTTCAGCCGAGCAGGGTTTTGGAAGTGTTCCAGCAGAAGGTTCCATGCCACCGGGTAATTGTTCGCACATATTGGGATCGTTTGGATGAGTTGAAGAGCTGTATTCGATAATGATGATCGGAGGTAATAAAACTTCTGGATATTCGAGAGACCGACTGCCGAGTGGACCAGCGACACATACAAATCGTGGAAGTTTAGCCAGTTTTCCAGTTTGCCATCGAAGACGGGGAGTTTAACGTCAGGCAAACGTACCTGCGATACCGACGGAAGGAATTGCGTCTCTGATTGATTAGGAAACGGGTGAGTTGGTGTAACTGGCGTTTTATTTCGGGCCAGTAGAAAGCCCTTGATATGATAATAAGCGGACTCAAGCGACGTCCGCTCCTTTAGGTGGGTCTCGATGGCAGCTTTATCGAGCGTCTCCAGCTCGCTCTGGACGGTAGTGTAGTCTGACCACAACTTTATCAGGTTCTCAAGACGGACAGGGACTTCGTCGGCCTGCGTCTCCTCAGTGTAGTCGTCTACGAAGGTCTTGATGAGGTTCAGCGACGTCACTAGACTCTTCAGCCGCATCTTTAGCGTCTTGATACGGCGCTCGGTCGACATTGCCGTGAAATCTGTGGACAATGGACCAGCGTAGCACACAAACAGAAAGTAAAAGTAGTTGGAAACCTAATTACCTTGTTGAGGCAATTAATTTACCTTGTATTTGATAATAGCAGCAACCAAGCAGGAAGATGGCGTTCCGTAGCGGATTGTTCAGCTGGGACAATGGCGATAAGAAGCGATTCTTCAGCGGGCACAATAGCGAATGTGCGATGGCGGCTCACTAGGCGCTGGACTATCGGACTAGCGGAGATTCGACGCAATCCGCCTCGAAGGACCAAATGTCGGGAGCACAGCGAGCAGCAGCAGAAAATTTGTCTCAGCTGATTTTGTTTCTCAGCTCCGCACAGGCAGGTAAACTTTTACTCACTATTTCTTCTCTTTCAGGAATTCCAGAATGGCGGAAAAGAAGAATGTTTCTTGAAGCAGCTTAACTTTAAGCACTCGCGACTTACTTCACGCACAATAAACTTTAATTCTACTCAATTAACTGCTTTTACTTTCACTAAATTACAAAATTTTTGTAAGATTAATTTCACTTTTACTTTTACTTGTTTGTTTATCTTCTGCTTCGCACAGATGATGATGATTGATGACGTCGCTGTAGCTAAAGAGGATGACTCCTGTCACTCTTCGACTTTTATAACAGGGCGCGGCGGAAGACGGTACAACGCCATGCTATCAATCTAAATTTCCCTTTTGGGCGTTTATAGCCGTCGATCAAAGGGAGTTTTTACGATGTGACCGATGAGCAACAGGAAGCGCGTCGATGCATTTTCGTTGTCACGAACAAATTGAATTCTATTTTTGAAATGCGGTATGAAAATTAAGTGCAATATAAAGTGGTGACCAGACAAAACACAGGAATACTAATGTTAATACTTCCGACGTCGTAGCAGTCCACTTCTAGATGGAGCTATTCTTAAAAAGCTCCTCTTCCTTGTCTCTACTGCTGGTGCTGTATGGGATTAGAAAGGTAGGCGGTGAATTTAGAATAACTAAAATGTCGGAAATGCAACAAGTGAGACTGACGACATTTAACAATATTGTGCAATAAATTCATATTATTCTATCAGGCTATCAGAATATTTGTAGCGCATTGCTGGTTTGTGGAGTAGTATTAAGCTTAAATAAGTCTTGTTCAGTCTTTATACCAGCTAACTTACTGAGGTTGAATTACGGGGATACAATTCGCTTGATACACTACTAATCAACTGTATATTCAGCCTGGTGTTAATCAGCTTCGTACACCTTAAATCAACCAATAATCAACTTTTGTTCTTACAATTGAAAATTTTGAAGAAATTCTTGGGCTGAACACACAATCTCGATTTATGAGAATCTACCATCACTACATATAGTCAGATATGTGTCTTCCTTGTTACACTCCAGACCGTGCTCACTTCACCAATCGCAGTTCCTCAATTGAATATGATCTGACCATGAAGCAAGCAACTCATGGGATTCCCGATCAACTTCGACCTATTATTATCCCGCGTATTTTTACTGAAAAGTACCAACACGTCAATTGCGTGAACAGATATTTTACAGACGGGTCTCGTCTCAGTGGATCCACTGGCTACGGTGACTTCAATGAAAACTATAGCGCCTTCCGCAAACTCCAGGAACCTTGTTCCGTTTTTGTTGCTGAGCTGGCAGCAATCAACTTCGCATTGGGGATGATTTCCAACATGCCCGCAGACCATTACTTCATCTTCTCGGATAGTCTCAGTTCGATCGAGGCTATTCGGTCGATGAAACAAGGTAGGCACTCATCTTATTTCCTTTCAAAGGTAAGGGATCAGATGAGTGTGCTGGTAGAAAGATCATATATGATTACCTTTGTATGGGTCCCCTCACATTGCTCAATCCCAGGCAATGAGAAGGCGCAAAGGTGGGCGCGCAGGAAGGCGAATTTTATGACAGGCAAATTTCACACGATGAATTTTACCATTTAGTGCGTCAGAGTACCCTGGAAATCTTCGACGGTGGTTACATTCAATTATTCCTAATGTTTCTTCGAGAGCGTGGTTTAAAGGCTTGGACTTAAGTCGTGACTTCATTCGCGTGATGAGTAGACTTATGTCCAACCACTACTCGCTAGATGCTCATCTCAATAGAATAAACCTCGTAGACAGCAACATCTGTCGGTTTGCTTATTTGGAAGATTCCTTGAGTTAGTAGTAAGTTTTCTGGCAAATGTCGAGGGTTCGTGAGCATTCCTGACATTGCTGAAAATTGTGATAGCATCAGATTGCGGGGTTGCTAGTGTAATAGGATGCTTTGTTGATTGCTTGTAATACTTATGAATATTTTAGGTGGACAAAAAGGTGAACGCCTGAGCTGTTACACATTTATATCGCTGTGAAGCAACTGTAAACTCTAAAGGGAATTTATATCTGTAACTGAAACCAGTTCGATTTTGTTTGCTAACCTGGTTAAAATTTCATATTTAATTATCTTAAAGATAAATCGTCCAGCTCAAATCTTTGTAGGGGTAAGAGGTGGGACCATCATCATCATCATCATCACCTTTAGGTTTTTGGGTTAACAGAGGCAGAACGCGGAGGGACCGCTTAGGGAAAGCATAATGTTCACACTTGAAGTGTTCAGAGCGGCTGAGCTGTTCGGTGATAGTTTGATCTTCCTTTCAAAACCAATTTGGCTCTAGAACAATTTAAAACTTGTTCTGCATTATTCACATGTTGCAATTATTGAAAAGAGCTCGATATAAAGTAGCTTAATACAATTAAATAGAAATGCCAAAATCTTCAGTAGTTCAGCTGTTCTGATTTCGGTAGAGTTTGTTGAGATCGGGTATAGTTTTGGAGTATGTTGTTTGTGGATTCCCATTTTGAAATGACTCAGAGTAATAGTTTCTAGAGAACTTTCTTTTGGGATATTAATCATGATCAGTCTTAGAAAATGTTATATGTTTAAGCCCAGTTCTAGATTAGTTTGTTATTAATATCTTTTGCATTGCTGCTCGCGAGGGGTTACCAAATATGGGTTCTCTTTTTCATCCACAATAGTTTGGAGGGAGGGTTGATCTGAGAGTTGAATAGAGGCAAATAAAATAGGGAACACAACACCATGACCCAAATGACTAACCAACGTATGCGGCTCACACTTAATTTATTCTATTTTCTTCCTCTTATGTATCAATATTACCTGCCTGAGAACAAATGGGAACACGGTCAGATGTTCAATAAGAGCAAAAATAGCGAGAAAGCATGAGCAAGAAAAGAAGAATTAAATAAGACATGAATCGGAACGAGTAAGCAGTCAGAAAGGAACACGTTGGTTTGAGACAGCAAATTTATACTGGACGGAACTGATAAGTAGGATAAGAATTGTAAAAGGTGTGTGCTTGCATGATTTACCTATTTTAGAATTACCTATAAGCCACATCAGAACCTCATTTCCTTCAATTACTACTCCATCACAGCACACACACACACCTAATATTGATCTCTAACCTTCATATAGTTTCAGCATTATCGACATTATAATCAAAAGGTGAGTTGTAAAGTATTATCACCATGCATAGAGAAGAGATGAACTAGCCTCAGGCTAAAAATCTCTAAAATAAAGATTAAAAAAAAAAAAAAAAAACCATGCATAGAGATAAGTTAATATTCCAGAACCTGGACGGACACGAGCCTACCCAGGGAAGGACCCGGATACGACCACCCATGTGTGTCTTAAGTATCGCACGAGCTGACGAGTGCAACGGGAAGGACAGTATTTTATAGTTAGCGGTTGGCACAGCCTATACACTGAACAATTACAAATACAATAAAAGTTGTCTATATACTCGATTTCTTTAATTTATTTTTTTGCGTTCTATGATTTATTTTATTTAAAAAATATAATGCCCATTTCCGTTTTTAGAAATGGGTTTGGTTATCTTAACCCTTATTTCTGTTTTCGAATGAATCGGATACGTCATACAATTTTGTATGTCGTATCCGATTCGTACGAGAAAATAAAATATCAATTGGTAAGTATTTTACTCATAACATTATTATTTATGGTAGATGGAAATCGGGTAAATGACAATTGGGTTTTTGTTACATTCTGGCGAATTTCTTTCGGCTGAATGGAATTCGGGGAAATGTCATAGAATCCTGCATATAGCACAGTCAAACAGACATAACCCAACAAGCAATCGTCTATTGAAGAAACGACTTGTTGGCCATTTTATTCAACTGCATGCTTAATAGTACTTGTACTATTTTTAATAATAACTTCTGTTCAGACTTTGTTCACACAAATCTGGAGAATTTATTCAACCACAAACATTGAACTACTGGTGTTGTATAAGGTACGTCGAAAAGCTTTTATTCGACTTATATGAGTTGTAACAGAGTTTATGCGATAAAATTTTTGATTACTCAGCGTTTATTAGACATCACTGCTTCCTTAAAACAGTGATACTCTGTATACGCTTGATACTCATGTGAAGTAACGTTTAATTAGACATTATTATACATTTATTAAACGATTATTCAACTGTGGGAAAATTAACCCGAAAATAAGAGGGACGGGGACAGGGGGAAGTGTGTGTTTCTTAAGTGTATTGTTTTTCAATATTTCTGACGTGGCTCGCACCACACAGATATTAGAAAATTTATTAAATACTTATACATGTCGTTGTATGGGATTCGAACCATGTACCTTCCGATCACCAGCCGCTTGTCTTGTCATCTGAGCTATCCTAGAATGCATAATATGGGCAACTCAATAATCAATAAAAGCTTGCATGAAAGTAAATACCTATCAGCACTCCCGATCGCAACTCTAGCTCCTTCAAGGCCCTGTGGGAATGATAAATTCATTCATCGTTGTTTTAAATGAGACCAATGTTGCCTCTTCACATCTCCAAGTCGAAAGAAAGGATGCTCGGTTATATTTTAAACTAGATTAATGCATTCATTATCGTGAGTCATGTGATCGATGACCACTATTTAAATTAATTATGTTCTACACAAATAAAAAAAGGGTTGAGCTTGGGATTGAACTCACGACCTCCTAATTGGAAAGCGGAAACGATAACCACTACTCTACTGATTTCGCCTTGTTGTAAGACTGAATCAGTGTTGTCGAATAATGACTCTAGTACGTCGTTTATGAAGCATTTACAAAAAATCATGTGATTGCTACATGGACGCATAGTGGTATAAGAGCTATTATGCTGACTATATTCACCTTTATTTAGCAATATTCTAAACTAATGCAATGAAATCTAATAATGCAGCTAGAGAACATTTATTAGACGTCTAATAAAGCATGTTATTAAATTAATTGAAAACAGTCGAATTAAAGTGTCAATGTATGTACAAATTACACTTATTCAGTTTGTTATTAGATCGAACAAAGACATTTAACACTTTCACAGCTTTTAATAAGTAAATTAATCAGATCAGAGCAAACAGTTGAATAAATGTGCATCTATCGATCTCAATGAGCTTTTTCAGCACATAATTCGACAACTCTTTTTATTCAGCATTGTACACTGTTATACAGCATTAATTCAGTATATATGCTTATTTGAGACTCTGAATTGTTTGTTGGGTGGTATAAGAGCTATTTTGCTGAGAGTATTCACCTTTATACAGCAATATAGTAAAGCAATGTAATGGCATCTAATAATGGAGCTAGTAAACATTTATAAGACGTTTAATAAAGCATTTTATTCAATCAATTGAAAACAGTCGAATTAAAGCGACAATGTATGTGCAAATTACACTTATTCAGTTTGTTATTAGATCAAACTTCTGGTTCTGAATAAGGAAGACAGTCAACGTTTATAAAGCTTTTAATAAGGAAATTTATCATATCAGACCAAACGGCGGAATAAAGGCGCATCTATCGATCTCAATGACCTCTTTTCAGCACATAATTCGACATCCTGTTTTATTCAGCATTGTACACTGTTATACAGCATTTATTCAATGTGTATGCTTATTTGTGACTTTGATTTGTTTGTTGTTTGTTTGTTAACTCATTGAATATTCGTCGCAATACCGCCATCTATTGAGTACACTGTGATGGGAAGTACGCTCCATAAATGCATGATTAAACCGCACTGCCCTCTGTTAATAATTAAGGAAATTCAGTATATGCGTAATTTCTTATAGATGTTACCATTAAGAACAGTAGTGACATCTGAAAGAATATTAACGCAGAAGCATGTTAATTCGAAATATCAATAGCTTTTTGGTCATGAAAACAAAACTTTATTTTTCTCGGATCGCGCGAATGTTACTTTCGACATAATTTTCTCTTGTAGTTTCGGTTGAAAATCAAAATCGTCTCAGTTCGCACTCCATAGGTAGCAACATGTTGCTAGTTGTTACGACCTCTCACTATACAAAGCTATTAGCACAGACCTGTAATGAACTAGATTACGGCTAAAAATCTCATTAATAAAGCATTAAATAGGTCGAAACCAATCCTCTGGCACAATCAAAAGTTCTTGAAGCCGCTGTCGGTGATTTTGATTGTGTTGTTGTTTACATGAGTTAAAGAAGAGATACTTTGACGTTACGACCAAGTACTTGTGACGGTGATTGAAATATTACCATATAGGCGAAATGGCTCTAATGTTGCCCTATGGATCTAAGGTTGGGCTTATCGCTAAAAATTTGCTATTTATCAATTTTATATAGATGAACGCATCATTGGGACCGTACTAATGGATATTTTTGGTCACTATTGAAACTTTAGTCAATTGCTGAATTTATGTATGGGCCCAACATTACATCCATTTCTCCCTAGCATCTAGGGGAAACACAAATCCTATGACAGAAGAAAAACGATAATTCACGTGCAGTAACTGACTGGTGGACTAAACACAAGAAATGGGATGGTGGCTGGTTCCCGACTCTCGAGCTTTTGTCATCGTATCTGAATCGCCCTTCGTGAGCTCACTCACTTTTTCCGGAAACATTTTCCACATACACTACATTGGATATCAATGGATCTCGCCACACCCACAACTCGCACTCCCAGTTCAGCTCTTCGTTCGCTTCGCTTAATTGTTTGCCTACATTCCCGAATAGGTATAAACTTTTCTACTTTTCCGTGTCATTAAGTTATCACGAAAAAATATAATCATCAGTAACAAACCCAAAGTAACGTATGTAAAAAAAAGAAGTATGGATGTGAATTAGGCAACAAAACCGACTGCGTACAATTTGCATTTTTATTCAGATACCCTTTTGTCAATTTTGAATATACATACATAAACCTCTTTAGCGTGTACATTTTTGTTCTAAAATCCCAACAAAAAACTGTTAAACCACATCATTTATGCAAGGAAATTTTTGATAGTATTCTTAGATTTCCTTTAATTTATCACAATCATTGGTTGAAACAGATTCGCCAACCGTTGTTTTATCGCCCTAGTGGAAAAAATAGTTTTAAAATCAGTAGATCTATATGATACTTTGAGGTAGTTTTTAAACTTACCTTATTTTGATGACGTGCTTTCAAAGCCCACGATAGGCTCATCAATCTGTAGCGTTCCTTTATACGTCCTCGCAATTTTTGTGGGACAACCAACATCGTGGTTGTGGTATTACCAATGAACAAAATAAGGAATAGCACACTAAGAACCGGAATCTAAACAGGAATAAAAAAAAAAAAATAAGTATCATTGAAAATCAAACGTACAGATTTGCACTTCATCACACCTGCCAAGTTGCATCGGGATGCTCTGCAAGTTTATACAATGTCCACGCATTATATGCTTGAAAGATATAACCCATAAAGAGGAATGGAATCAGAAAGCTTAGTCCACGCCACATCCATGAATGAAAGCCTTCAATTGTAATGTCCATATCGTGTCGTTCGCCAAGCGCTTTTAGTCTGTAGAGTACTCCTTTTTGATATCCAAATTGCATGTATTGTACCAAGCTTATGTAAACGTTGAAGTACATAAACTGAGTCCTGAAAAGTTGCCATGGTTCGCCTTGTGGCCAAACCAATAAAACACCTGCACACACAGTTGAAATAAAATGATGGGCTCTCCACCATCCTTTGATACGCGATCCGTTCACCTATAATAAAATAATAAAAGAGTAACCTTCTTACTAATCAGTTTCCGCTCATGTAAGGCAATGTTTAGGTTAAAAATTGACAGGAAAAGTACAACCAAGTATTTATTTTAAGTTTTTGTATCATTCATACGCTATTCGAGAACAATAGAGAAAAAAAACCTTGAAATGCAAAAAATAGCATCAATGTACCCGCACAGAACTTGGAGCTTGGAGCTTATTGACGCACATTGTCGATCCGTCTTGGTCGCTTCAGACAAAGCAGGCCCTTCCGACGAAGTTATTGTTCTTGGCGATTTTAACCTACCGGCATGGACTCCAACCCTTCTTTTTCCTTTGCTTAACGTCGGTCTCTGTTCCGCAATCTAGTGCCAATCACCGACGGACATCGATTGCCATCCATTGACGGCAATCGAATGTGCAGGAAGGCAGCTTCCACACCTGCGTAGGATATCGCACCCATTCAACACACATGGGCCGGGACCAACGGCTTTACTTCCCTTCCGAAGGAAGACGTGACCAGAGATTTTTATGCCTCAGAAAAATCCCACCGACCTCGGCTGGGATTGAACCCAGACCCATCGGGTTGTTATAAAGCAGTCACGCTTACCACTACACCACCGGCGCCGGCTAGACTCCAACCCATAGTGGTTTATTTTGTCCTGATCACGAGCGTTCATCTTTCCACGTAGGAACCATCCAGCTCCTGGACAGTTATAGTACCGCATTTCTGTCACAAATCAATGGCCTGTTGAATGCAAACAACCGCACCTTGGATCTATGCTTTGTGAGCTTTGTGAGTTATCGTGATACAGCTCCTTTTCTCTCTTCACGGCACCCGAACCTTTAGTCACGGAAGTGCATCATCACCCTGCTTTAGTTATCGTGATCGAAAATAATAAAGTTCTCGTGATACAGCTCCTTTTCTCTCTTCACGGCACCCGAACCTTTAGTCACGGAAGTGCATCATCACCCTGCTTTAGTTATCGTGATCGAAAATAATATTGTCGATGATTTCATCAGCACTTCAAACGCTGTGTCATATGACTTCCGTAGAACTGACCATCGCAGTATTGTCCATGTGCTGTCTAACCTAGATTTGGAGCACATTCTAGATCCTGTAGACGTCAACATTGTTGCACAAACCTTTTCTCACGTCTTGGCATATGTCATTGACAGGCACGTTTCCAAAAAGATCATCCATATCAACTCTCGCGTCCCGTGGATGACGAAAGATCTTCGCTCGTTGAAAATAACTAAGAAGGCTGCTCTCAGAAGATTTACTAAATTCCGCACACTGCCGCTGAAATGCTACTATGTCAAACTCAACCACGAGTATAAGCGGTTTAGTCGTCTAGACGGCGATCATAACCGAAATCCTTCTGGAACTTCGTAAATGAGCAACGCAGGGAAGTATGCTTACCCTCTTCCATGATTTTTAATGGTGAAACTGCTGGAAATCAACAAGACATTTGCAACCTGTTCTCAGCCAAATTTGCTAGTGTATTTGAAGACGAGCAACTCTCCGCTAATCTAATTATTTCCGCGGCCAGTAATGTTCATTTGGTCAACCAAACGCTCATGGGTAGTGTAGTCTAAGCCGGCTGGTGGTCAACCCAGCTAAGTATACAATCATTACTTTCTCACGCAAGCAACAACCGATTATTTTCAACTACAAACTACTAGGGACGACTATCGAACGGGTGCATTACGTGAAAGACTTGGTCGTTTTTCTAGACTCAAAGCTGACATACTCACACCATATATCGTATGTCGTCGACACAGCGTCCAGAACTCTTGGCTTTGTCTTCAAGATTAATAAGAACTTCACAGACATTTACTGCTTGAAATCGCTCTATTGCTCTCTCGTACGATCTACGTTGGAATACTGCTCTGCAGTCTGAAGTCCGAACTACTATAATGGGGCCGAGCAATTTGAATCTATGCAACAACGTTTTATTCTCTTCGCGCTCCGAGAGCTGCCTTGGAGATACCCACTTCGTCTTCCAAGCTACGAGAATCGCTGCCAATTGATCAATGTCTTACGTATCCGAAGAGATGTTTTAAGAGCCTTAACCGTCGCCGATACTGTGAGGAAGAATCGACTGCGAAGCAATTCTGCAACAAGTGAACATTAATGTTCAACCTCGATCCCTACGCAACAGTCTTATGCTGAGACTTCCACTTCTTCGAACTTATTATAACTTAGGAGCGCTATTTACGGCTTGCAGCGAGTGTTCAACCGAGTAGCGTCGATGTATAATTTCCACTTGACACATACTACGCCGAAGATTCTCTACCTTTTTTGCTGACCGAAGGCGCTTGACGCCCAACAGCGCTAAGTGTAAAATTTAAGACTTAGTTTTTTGCCATTTAAATGATCTTTATTTCTTGTGATTGTGTGGTTTACATGTATGAATTTGTTAAGTGAAACAGATGCGTCTTTTCAACTTTGGTACATTTGAGATTTTAATTATTATTTACAGTTCCTAGTCCTATCAGGCCTATTTTAAAGTATGACTACCTTGGTGAGATTGGTTTGATTATTTAAGACTTAGTAACTTGACAATGCTTTCTTAGTTATTTTCGTTTGAAACTGTAGTATATGTAGTCTGTATAATCTGTATTTTTTTTTACAACACACCATTCGGACTATTTCTAGTCTGTTGATGTAAACATAAAAAATAAACAAACAAACAGAACACTTACAACCGTAACTATTCAAATCGACGTATCTGTTTTTCTTCTTCTTTCCTCTATTAAACGTCGGTGTCTGTTCCGCAATCTAGTGCCAATCACTGACGGACATCGATTGCCATCCATTGACGGCAATCGAATGTGTAGGAAGGTAGCTTCCACACCTGCGTAGGATATCGCACCCATTCAATACACATGGGCCAGGACCAACGGCTTTACTTCCCTTCCAAAGGAAGACGTGACCAGTGATTTTTATGCCTCAGAAAAATCCCACCGACCTCGGCTGGGATTGAACCCAGACCCATTGGGGTGAGGGTATCTGCTTTTGTAAACAATCACTTTAATCGACGATTTGTCTAGTCTTAACTGCTAATTCACCCACGCAAACAAACACCACCATCAGTAGGAGAATCTTTCCCCTACTAGCTGGTTTTGTTAGTTTCTTTGAGTGAGCTAGCAGTTGCCACAAATCGTCGGTTGAAGTGATTGTTTAAAAAATCAGATACGTTGATTTGAATAGCTACCCGAGCAAAGTCCAGCATCAAAATGACAGCAAATTGAAATAAAGTTTTGATATCAACATCAAACTGAAATCCTAATTTGATTTCAGTTTATGCAATTGATGAATTTGATACCAAATTTTGTTTTCATTTTACTGTACATTTGCTCTTCAAAAATATGTTGTTGCGGGTTTATTTTCATTGCCTTAGCATAACATCAAATTTAATACTTGTTTTGATATCAACAGGAAAAATTGATATCAAATTAAGTTTTCAGTTTTCTCTCACTGATAGCAGAAATAGCTTTCAATGTGATGTCACAGGAAGATTTGTTTGCTCTCAACAGGCTTGCTGAAACTCCTCGAACTCACTGGAGGTTTTAAAACACTCTTTTCCTGTGAGTTTAGCCAGCCCTTACCTCGAGTGAGTGGCGGCAGGAATATGGAAGAAGTAAACAAAAACTCCTTGAGAGAGAGGGATAGTGAACTTCAGCGAGAGGATGAGTTGAAGTGAGATGCGCTTTTCGAGACTCCGGATGACTTTTTTGTTCGCAAGCTCTGAAGCTCAGTGGAATGATTTGGGAGTAGGCATTCTACTCCTCAGAAAAATGCTACGCTCGGCTCATTTCAAACTCGCGAGCGAGGCTCCATCAAGCCTGGCTCTCAATTTTGATATTTTAACCGTTAAAAAAAAGCGAAATCACAACATCAAATTTAGATTTCTGTTCTGGGGTACCAGTCTCCGCTCATGCCCGGTCACCTTTGTAAAAAAGGGCTACTTTTCGGATCAATTGCGATAGGTATATAAATGTGTACACATACTTACACGTTAAAAACACTTAATTTTTAATTTTTATTATTACGTTTGCTGAGAAAAACGTCAATGCATGATCGACGAGAATGCCAGACTTCACGCGTTGTTATTGTTTTGATTAACACTCTGAACACGATGCCTCCGGTAAAATGTGTATGTTCCTTGATTGTTTCCCGTCGATATTGTTTTCCGTACTGAGAAATATGACACAATAGTTTGAACCCCGCTAATCTGCACGCCATGCAAACTAAAAATTGCTCAAACGTCATCTAGCACAAAATGAACACGCCAGGGCGGCAGCTACCACACCTGGACCCTACACTACCCATTAACTCATGGTACCAACGACCCTTCCGAATAAGGCGTTATCAGAGATTGTATGATTCAGAAAATCTCGATGGCGCGACTGGGTTTGAACCCTGGCCCTTTGTAGTGAGAGGTAGTCAAGCTGACCGGGGCTGCTATACTTTGGGTTTGTGAGAGATTATAAAGCTGTGGCTATCAATAAAGAAAGTCGATGAAGAGAATCAATCAAGGTCACTTACACCCCTTTCCTTCTAACCCCCTCATATAAGTACCATACGAAAAATCTTCAGTAATTTGAGCTGATCTTGCAACCAGGAAGATAAATTATATGGAGCACTTATCGATGGTATAAACCCTCTCTTTGGTCAACTGCGACTAAAGCAATCTAAAATTTTGCTCATATCCCAAAAGAAAGCATTTTTTCAACCACTATGGCTAGCTGTCTCAAAGTTACCAGGCAAGACTTAAACATTTTTTTTCTACTTAGCAACAATAAGCACTATTTACACGCAAAAGTAATCGTTTGGTTTTATTTGACGTTTTTTTCTAGCTTTTTTGGAAAAAAAAAATGATTTTTTTTATGTAAATGTTAATATACATTAACAGAATATTTTGGGATGTAATCATAAGTTGTCTTACTAAAAGCGCAATGAACAATATTCCAACAAATTATAGACAAAATGGTAGTTTTACACCTATTCAACATTATCACTAAA